GAAACTGGGTGCGGTGGCATGCACTGAAGTCCCAGCTACTTGGAAGACTTGAAGGGGAAGGATCACTTGAGCCTAGGAGATTGAGGCAGCACTGAGCTATGATTGCACCACTGCTGTCCAGCCTAGGTGCCAGAACAAGACCCTGTTTCTAAAAAGTAAGAAAGAAAATAAAGAAAATTTATCATGAGTAAATTATTCAATAGGAGAAAATAAATTCATATATGGTTTTCCCTGGGATCTCCAAGATAAAGTAACTGACAATAAAATTGGATAACTTATTAAAGAATGTACAAACTATCAAGAAATTTCCAACAAAATGAAGAAAAATGCAAAATATGGGTTCTGTCTAGAAAATGGTATGATTAATCCAAACTGAAATTATTGCTGTAATTATTAATATTTTGTAGGTCAAGATGTTTTGCATTGAGAAGGAAAATCATCATTGGGCTTTTGGTGAAGGAATAAAATTCTATAAAATTTATAAAAAATGGGAATACTGGCATTTGAGAAATATTTTTCTGACTTTAGCTGAAGTATAAGGTCTAGAATTCATATCCTAAAGAGAAAGAAAGGGTGTGCCCTGAAAAGAAGAGGATAGGGCTGCAGAAGGGGCTCAGGGATTAGACAGAGGCAGAGTGAGGAGGGTACATGAAACCCAGGTGCTAGCTTGGGGGAGCTCTTACAGCTGAGGACATGAAACTGCCTCCATTGATGGGAGAATGAAAAAAAGGTGCTTCTCAGAGTAGGAAAGGTGACATGATTGAATGATGAATGAAAAAGAAGATTTTGGCTGGAAGTCATAAGAATAGCCATGGACATATTCTTTGTGGAAGCAGAAAACAATCTTTACAGTGATTAAGAGGGTATACTCTGAGGTCAGGTTCTCTTGGCTCAAATCCTGACTGTGATCTTGGGCAAATTCCTTAACTTCACGGCATCAGTTTCATTATCTGAAAAATGGGAATGACAGTCAAATTCCCATCATAGGGATATTGTACTGATTAAGTAAATGCCCAGAAGATAAGTGCTCAACAGACATAAATATTCCTGTGATTGTTTGTAAGGAGATCAGAGGTCTCCCTGCCATGTAGTGCATGAAGAATTTCAACCAGTTTCCTCCTCAGTAAAATAAGCCTGTTGTTCTCACCAGTTGTCTCCTCGGGATATGGTGTGTACATCCCTGCAACTTTCCAAATGCCTCCTTGTTTCACTGCCCTAGTTAGCTGAGACAGCAGTTGGCTAGAACCGAGGTGCCAGTCAGTTAAAGAAACAGGGCCTGCATACTGCCCTTCTCCCCCCTTTTGTTGCTGGTTGGTGCTCAGTGACAAGTGATCAGGAGGCAGGAAAGAAAAGAATGCTCCAAAGACGACCCGGTGCTCTCACCTCTTCCTGATCCGTTTATGTCTAAGAGAAATATTTGCCCTTGGCTATGTGCTGTTTCCCATCTGAGTCATGCCTCTTCCTTTCTCTCATTATCCTACACTCCTACCTTTTCCTATAATGGCAAAATGATTTCTCCAGCCATGCAGCTGAGCTGAATGACCTAATACGTCCAAGCGCAGGCAGATAGGTGTTCCTGTCCTATTTTTGGATAATTGTTAAAGTGGTGTCCTCTGATTTCTCGGACTGCAGCTTGGTTTTTCTTTGCCACAGACACACTGCAACAGTCAACAGCACAGAGAGGCAAGGCAAAAGAAGACACAGATGATCACAAGTTACAGTTTAATTTTCATTTTCATTTTCACTCTTCCGCATTGTCTTTAGGGCACATGGTTCCAGCAGAGCCCTCATGCCCGCTCCTAGGGTCCTGTTCATTCAGCAGTAGAGATGGGGTTTCACCATGTTGGCCAGGATAGTCTCAATATCTTGACCTCGTGATCTGCCTGCCTCGGCTTCCCAAAGTGCTGGGATTACTGGCGTGAGCCACCACACCCGGCCAACATCTCTTTTAATCAATGTGTGGTGCTCTCATATTGTGCTCAGAGCTCATAGGTAGTTTTCAACACTCCTTTCTCAGACCATTTGTTCACCTAAGATAAACAGATGGCTGCTAATAGATTGAAATGTTACCCCATTCAAGTGTATGTTTCACTTAAAGAATTACCAAGATGTCAAGTTCCAATGGCAGCATTTCAGATAAGATCCAAAGTAAGAAACTGGAGAGTGGACACAAAATGTCTTTAAAAATGTAGCAAAGAGTGCCCTATTTTGTTACTTTGGGATGAATAGGGAGAAGGAATTGGGATGGTTAAATTATAGTGGCTAAACTTATTTTTATTCCTAAAAAATATAAACTGAATATCGAGTACAGCTGTATGCCTTACTCCTCCTCTGTCAACTTCTTCCCCTGGCCTCCCTGCACACATGTGCACCTTGAAGGGAAGACGTGTACCAAATTGTGGTTTGTGATAAATTACATTCGTTGTGGTAATTTTTCTTTGCAGCTTTACTATTTTTTTTAAGATTCTTAAAGTGATGTGTAACCCTGTGAAAATTCTGTAAGCACTTGTTATCTTAAACAAATATTCTAAAATGATAAAGTTGCAAGCTAGAAAAAGTGAGTTATTATTGTTTTATTTCTCCATTATGTTATTTAATTTGTCCTGGGATTCAAATGAGACAATGTATGGGATTGTGTTTTCTAAAATGTAAAACCAAAAGAAACGTTTCCGTGTTATACATTTCAAAGGGAGGAATAGGATAGTAAAAGAAATAACAACATCCTAGAAAGCATGAAAGTATGTCCAAACAAATTTCTAAATGCTAGGATGTTCTACCCTTGAGGAATTAAAAGTAAATTTCAGACAAGAGAATGGAGACTGAAGACAGTCATTACTGCAATCAAGAAAATATACTTTATATGTTTATATAAGTCTTAGTTTTCCCAACTTAATGATTCATGAGTGAGAAAATGGTGAGAAGGAAATTTTTATTAGAATCAGTACATTTCAAATCCCTTTTGTAAATGAAGAGAATTATAAAGTTGTAGTGCAATTCCCACTCCCAGTTCTGCAATTATCCCAAGCTTTTTTCAGTTATTTATTTACATAATCATTCATTCAGAAACATTGATGGAACTCATTAAATACTGGGCACCATTTCTGAATCCCAGCAAAAGTGAAGTCATGTTTTTGGTTTTCAAAAACATAACTAGTCATCTAATGGTGTTAGTACAGGGTTACTTTTACAATGTAATAGGTGATCATAGGAATTTGTACAAGATTTTAGATGTAGACACAGAAGAGGCACTTGATGTGAAAGCATTTTGGAAACAAGAGTTAGGCAGGCATGAGGAGAAAAGTAATGATGGCATGGGGCAGGAGAGAGTGGGTTTACAGGAGTAGCACGGGTGGTTCAGAAAAGCTACAGAAGAGCTGCTAATGATGACAATGGGTTCATAGTGAAGGCCTTGCATATGTTGCTCAAGAACTTGGAATATTATTCTCAGGGCAATCACATACAATTGATAGTTTTAAGCAGGGAAATGACAGGGTAGTCTTGGTATAATCACTTTTTTTTTAAAGGGAAAGATGGATTGGTGATCATATTGAAGGCAGGGAGTGAGGCCACTTAGGAGGCTTTGGCAAATAGCCAGACAAAAGATGAAAATGGCTGTGATTATGGTGGCATAGCAGTGATTTTGATAGAAATTCTTCAAATCAAATATAGTCATTCCTCGGTGCTCTCAGGGGATTGGTTCCAGAACTCCCCTGCAGATATAAAAATCCTTGCATACTTGAGTCCCATCATCCCTGTGGAAGTCAAGCAGGTGAAAAGTCAGCCCTCCTTGTCTGAGGGTTTAGCATCTTGCAATACTCTATTTTGGATCCAGTTTGCTGGATACAGAAGGCTAACTGTATTTATTGAAAAAACATCTGAGTATAAGTGGACTGTGTAGTTCAACCTCATGTTGTTCAAGGTTCAACCATAAATTCTAATTAAGATATAAAGTAATGTTTTTTGAGAAAATTATAAAAATAATAAAGATGTAGAATTGATAAAAAATCTTAGAATCCCTGTTTTAAAGAATTGAGGCCAAATACAGTCTTACAGTCAATGGAAGGGTAAAAAGTACATGCATTAATTATTGTATTTACAGCACACATATCCTGTAATTGATAGAAAATTCACTGATTAAAAAAAAAGTTTTGGACTGGACAACTTGGTTGGTTTTCATATACATAGCCAAGTCTTCATCCTACTGAAGTCACAGAAAACAATGAGATGGGAAGCTACTGGGAGACCATTTAGTTCAACTCTTTCATTAGAAAGAAAACCGAGAACCCAAGATTAAACCCTTTGCATGAGGGGATACACCTCAACAATGGCAATGCTGAGACTGGAATCAGTTGCTTGGCTTCTAGGGCAGGGATTTTTTCACTACACTCCAACAATTTCCCAAGAAAGCCATCAAAATAAATTAATGGGATGTGGATGATTATAAAAAAGATGAATTTTTAAAAGTTCCTTGAAATTATAAGGAACATTTAAAAAAGCCAAGCACCTGCTTTATTATTGGAGGTTGATCATTTTTCCAGATGAACTGACAAGAAAATGTGTGCCAACATCAGCAACTAGTCTTCACATACTCACTTTCCAAAAATAATTTTGGACTCTAGTCTAGCTTCATGGCACAGGTATCTAAGTACATGTGATTTATATTGTTACTTTCTTATTTAGAAAAAAATTGGAAACAAATTTCAGTTTATTTAGGATTAGCAAGAAAAGATTTTATAAAAAAGAGGAAATACGGTCAGTTTATGAATAGGCTATTTTATACTATTCATCACATGATAGAAAATTTCTATGGAACCTCTTTTAGTGCTAGGAAAACAAAAAATTCAACTACTAATCTAATAATTAAAAAATACATTTCCAAATAAGCAATAACTCATGTATTTATTATCTATTTAAAGTTTTTAATAAGGTAAAAGTAAGTCTGAAAAGGTTGTTATAGATCAGTTCCATATTTACTGTAATAAAAGCAATACATACATTTGTAGGTTTTTAGAAAATTTATTAAGAATTCTGAGGCAGTCTGCTCAGCATATACCTCTCCCAGCCCCAAATAAAAGAAACAACATGTTTGTCCATAAAGCCTGGGATTACTTGGTACAAAATGTGTCTTTGAAAAAAATAGTTAATGGAAAATCTCAATAAAAATTCATTTTGAAAGTAACCAGTACTGTTCAGAAATAATAAAATCACATGTTACTTGTTAGAAGTCACACAGTTTTATTACAGAACTATGTATACATGTTTTGGGTTTAAAACTTGCTATTTGAAAAGATAGAAGCTCATAATTTATTAAAATAGATATTTTATTAAAATATTTCTGGTTTATCCAAATGTTTAAAAAATGTTTTAAAATACAAGACATAACTATAAAGTCATGAGACTGATTGACCTTTTAAACTAACATAATAAAATCTATATGGTCCAAATGAGTGGTGATGCTTTAAGGTAATGATTATGTGTTCCACTTAAGGATGCTACGATGGCTTAGGGCAGTTTTGAAATGTCCCTTTTGCAACTACCTTCAAAAGGATATGAGCTTCATAATTGAATCATTCATTTGATTTGGTCCCCAATAGTATTCCAGTTTAATCATCATTTATATTCACCAGTCCCAGCAATTTTGAAAAACCTTATTAATCGTATTTGTCACTTATAAGGGTATTCAAAGGAAAGTCAATTCAAGTTCCAATGGCAATTCTGAAATTTAAGCATATATGCACTTTTAAGGTGTGTAAAATTTAGTAACTACTCACAGTATAGACTTTTTTTGGTATATGTCTATCATTTTGAAATGAGATTTTTCAAAGCAACAGTGATTCATCACACTGAAATAGGACTCTACAGCTCAAAATGACAAGAATAACTTTATCCTGTGTTACATACGCATATTACAGAACATCTTAAAAGTTTGTAGCTGTTAGTTTTTAGTTTATGCATGCAGCTCAGTAGCCTAACAAGTTGACAACTTTCCTGTCTCTCTACATGAATCACTGTAGTTGAAATTGTACTAAAGTATCAGAAGTAGCCTTTACCGTAAAATGTTAAATAGCACCAATATTACTTGAAAGTAAAGTGAAACATTAATAGGAATGCAGACACAAGTTTAATTTCTAACTACTAGAAAGAAAGCATCTCCTAGACAAAATAATATTTAGATGTGAATTATTTTAAAAGCACAACCAGATAAATGTCAGTCATAAAACATTTCATATTTTTCTCGGAAAGTTTAGAAAAGAAAGCTTTGTGTATCGCTCTTTTATATTTTATTTTCAAAGAAGATATATAAATGCTTACATAATCAAAACAGTGCAATCTTACCAATGAAGTTTACCTTGTGGGAACTAAATTTACTTATTTCATATATTAGTTCAACAACATAAATATAATAAAAATGCTTTTAAGCAATCTGATTAGAGCAACATTTATATTAAGTACAAAATATACAGTAAAATGAAACATCTTGTTAAATAGGCCTGTAGGAAAACAATAAAGGAATACATTTTCATGAATCTACTTTCACATTTATTTGTTTTATTGTGTCTGATAGTTACTACAATCACTGTGTGCTTTTATTACTGCAATTTCCAGGATCATTGTATATTCTAAGTATACTAGTGACCATGTCTGTAAAGCTAATTTAAAACGGTTTACTCCTAAAGTAAAAACAAACACACAAATGAGAAATCTCATTTTTTTAATGGGAAGTTGTGCATAAAACTATTGTAATATTTTGATAGCAATGTCCCTTGATTATTATAAATTCATCATTATAAAATGTGTACTATTGTACTAAAGCAAAACTGTTTGCCTTTAAATCTAAGTGTTGTCAACTTACGGTATAATTCTGGTTACAAAGTTAGGTATGAAATCTTTGGCTATTAATTAGAAAGCATTATTTGAAAATATCTGCCAATAAACATTTCTAAATGTGGTTGCTCATCTTAACAGTTTTGTTAATTAGAACAGCTAGGAAATGAACAGAACAGTGGTGCTTTTGTGTTATAATATCAAAGAAGTATTACAGTATCCAAATCTCCAGACCTGGGGTCCAAATATTCAGTCCTGGCTCAGTTGCAGGCTGACAGAAGAGAAGCTTCGTCCCATGCTCGTACACAATGGAGCAATCATAGCATCTGTCACACTCTTCCATATTGTCTGCACCGAAGGCAGAACCATTAGGCAGGTCTTTACAAAAGGCATTAAAATCCTGGAATGAAGGAAGTGAGATGTGTGAGGATTGTTGCTGTTACCAATTAAGGTTTCTGACTCTTTAAAATGTATGAAAAGATACAATAATGACCCAATTCACTTAAATTTGGTTGTTTGAAACAAATAAATGAACAGTGATCACTGATAATGATTTGGAATTTTTGTCCCCCTGGCTCTTATGTTGAAATGTAGTCCCCAGTGTTGGAGATGGCGCTGAGTGGGAATAATTGGATCATGGGGGTAGATCCCTTATGAATGGCTTAGTGCCACCCCCTTGGGAATGTGAGTTCTCACTCTGTTAGTTTGCGTGAGATCTGGTTATTTAAAAGGGTCTGCGACCCCCCCCCTTTTGCTCCCTTTCTTGCCATGTGATGTGGCTGCTCCTCCTTCACCTTCCACCATGAGTGGAAGCTTCCTGAGATCCTTGCCTAAAATAGTTGCTGGCACTGTGCTTCCTACACAGCCTGCAGAACTGTGAGCAAAAATAAAGCCCTTTTCTTTATAAATTACCCACTTTCGGGGATTCCTTCATAGGAATGCAAATGGACTAACACAACCACTTTAGTGATAAGATGCACAAAAGATATGTTGCTTAAAAAATATAGTCATGTAGATAATAAATACTAATGTTCTTTCTATTGGTGGCATGCTATCTGAAACAGTAAAACAAACAGAAATAAAAGCTTATCTTTATCTACCTGGTCTCTGCCAGTTAACATTAACCTGCTTAAGTCTTCACATTTCCCTGAGGTTTTACTTCCTGTTTGCCTTTCCTGTTGCCTCATTCTGCTTCCCTTTTCCTGGACCAGGCTGGATCAGATACTCCCTCATTGTATTTCTAAAGTACTGAAACAAACTTCTTAATCTTCACATGTATCAAAAGGTATCATAAATAGATGCTATATTTCTGTCTTTCCTACTAGAGTTTACGTTTTTTTTAAACAGTGAGGCCATCCTTGACCCTTAGTAAATGTTTGAGCTAACATAAATTTATCATTCTTTTATGCCTTATGTTATTAACTATGCTTTATAATTTTAATTTTTCACAGTAATCACACACACTGAAAAGGGCTGTATGATATAGTTGAAAGAGTCCTGAAATTGATGTTAGAACTTTTTTTTTAAATTTTATTTATTTATTTTTTTTCTTTCATAAAGATGGGGTTTCACCATGTTGGTCAGGCTGGTCTTGAACTCCCGACCTCAGGTGATCTGCCCACCTTGGCCTCCAAAGTGCTTGGATTACAGGCGTGAGCCACCAAGCCTGGCTGATGTTAGAACTTTTACACAAGGAAGCAAGTCTATCCTGAAATTGCCATTTTTTTGTATGTTTGTTCCTAGCATAGCTGTATATCCTTTTAGTCCCCAGGATGGTTAATTTTATATGAAATTCTCTAAATAATGTTCTCTATTGTAGTAATGTCCTCTGAGCAAAGTAGCTGTGAGATTTTTAGGCACTGCTGCTAGCCTCAATGAAAATTTTATTATTCCCTGGGTTGGCATAAGGGAGCAGGTTGATTTTGTTGGTTTGCTATTAAAATGTGACTTCAGTGGAAGTCTGCTGTACTTAGCCCAAAGTAAAGGAAATATTAGGTAGCTTTCTGATTCATTGATATATTCATCGAATACAGAATTATTCATATTGACTGTCTCTACAAATTATATTTGTGTTGTTTCAAGTGCTAAATACATGAAGCACTTTTATATAAGAAAATTATTCCATGTTTCAGAGATAAATAGCTGAATAGAAACCTTAATGATGGCACCTTTTGACTTCTTATTCCATTGCATTTCTCACTTTATGTGTGGCCTTGGGCATGTTGCTACAAATTAAAATGACAACAGGACGTCTCCCAGAACTGGCTATGAGGATTGACATTTATTATGCAACCCTGAAATGCCCATATGATGCTGTCATTATAATGTATAATAAATAGACCTATTTTGAAGTCAGAATATATAATGAAAATAACTATAACAAAATAAACTCAAATTGGCCTACTAAAAGGCTGAAGTTAAGATCAGAAAGTTTCCTAACCAAATCCATTTCACTTAGAATATAATGCTTACTTTTCTTTTCTCCTTTTCTTTTCTTTGTCTTTCTGTCTTTT